TACCGCATGCTTCACAGACTTCAGGAGGTAAATGTTCATGCCACCATTTCCTACCAGATGAAAGTCTGAAAGTTTTGTCTGGTAACATACAGCTGTGGCCACAGTCATTGCTACAATTTTAAGAAAACCAAGGGACCTCCTTCCAGTAAATATACTTTAAAGCTGTTACCGAGAAAAATGTGAATAGTGTGTCATGGATGCTATTTGGCAAATATTACACAACTAGTATACAAGGAAGTATCTCACCAAGATATAATGAAATGTCACTGGTTTATCTCAATGCTTTGCTTGGACTGGCATACAAAGCTTCAATTATGGCACAAAGAGGAAAGGTTAACTCTCTTAAGTACTCCTTTATGTCATTCCTTTGCTCCTGCAAGGAAGACGTGTTTTAGCAAAAAGGCAAGTGCTGGAAGAAATATCCCTCTTGTTCAGTTCCAAGCCAAGAGAAAGACACTGGAAAGAGGGAGGCTGATTGGAAAGATAGTTTAATGATGAAGCAGAATCACATGAGTTCTGGTGCAGCTGACAAAATGGAGTTGAGAATGAGGGGTTTTTATACCTTCTTTGGGCTTTGCACTTGAACTTCCTGTTCCTGTGCAAGAATATTCTATTGGCTGTTGTCAGATTCCTATGGGGTCCTAGATGTTTGTCTGAACTTCAGGGTTTGGTTGAAGTTTGGACTGCTCTGAGATGTTGCAATGAAGAGGTTTGTGTTCTGAAAGGGTGTTGGGCAATTCTTATTGTGACTTAATGGCTTTGTCCTGTGTTGGATTTTGAATGAGGGCTAATCCTACCATTCTGCCTTTGTTTCAAAACATCCTGTCTTGAAAGGATTACCAAATCTGCATTTCTAAAAGTTGGTTTTAGTATCTGCTGGGAGCAGGGAGCTGGGAGCTGGCCTTAGTATCTGCTGGGAGCAGGGAGATTGAGTCTATTTTTGGTGGGGTCTTATTTCCCACCCCCCATCTACTGGTATGAGGCAGCGGAGTGGGGCAAGTGGCCCCTCGTGCCAGCCTTCTGAAGGGTCGCAGCAGGCCATCCCACCATCCACGAAACAGCTGATTTTCAGATGCCACTCAGGCCGCAGCCTCCAGCACGCGTGGCTGTTTTTGCAGCCGATTACAGCCGCAAAAGCAGCAGGAGGCCAAGTGACACGCCCCACAGACCTTTTGTCTGGCCTTCCAATGGGTACTGTAGCAGCAGCTACCAGTATCCACATTTTTTTACTGTTATTTCATCCCAACCCACATGGCCCAATATGGTGTTAAAAGTTAACATTTCAGAAACACTACCATAGCTGAGGAGGTCTCCCTGTGCAATGCTCTGCTGCAGCTTTGGAGCAAACCTCTGCATTCACCTGCACAGGATTGCAAGACTGGAGGCTCCGAAGCCATGGAGGGAGTGTTTTTGGATGTGCGTCTGTGCAGGGCACCTCTTTGAAAAAACGATCTGCAGGTGTGTGTGTTTGGGGGGGGAGATTTTTCTGCACATTGTCCTAGCTGTGGAGGAAAGGATGCACACACACACACACACACAGAGGTCCCTAAACCCCCCCTCCCCCCTCCCAAGGCAGCCACATCCCTTCACTAACCTGCTTTCCAGCTCCGTTCTCCACTGCACCTGCAGGACAAAGTAGTCTGTGCGACTATGGTAGAAAAAAAAGTGCCAGAAATTCAGACCTTTCAACTTCTCACAAAAAAAAAAAAAAAAAAATCTTGCAAAGTTGGAAGGTTTTTTTTATTGTAGTCCCACAGACTACTTTTCTTCCCGTGCATGTGGCAGTGGAGAATGGAGCTGGAAAGCAGGTTAGTGGAGGGATGTGGCTGCCTTGGGAGGGGTGGGGGTGGGGGTTAGGGATTGAAAAAAGCAGAAGGCCCCACAAGCCTCACGCCCCCTTCAAAAACACAGTCTTACTTCAATTGGCTGCAATGCCCCAAGTTGGCACACCCCGGCCTCCGCCTGCTCTCTGACATTAGATAGGACTTCTCGCACATGCACATAAGCGCACATGCACAAACACACACAGAGAGGTTTGATCGGATCACCCGCTGCTTCTGCCTTTTGCTGGTGCCTTCCCAGCATGTTTTGGAAGGGAGATAAAACTAAATCCTGCAGTCTCTCACAGCAGCCATGCAAACCCTAGCACGGGTAACAGCAGCTATGCCTTCTTCCTTCCAAAACATGCCAGGATATAATCTGAATAACACCGGCAGCAGTGAAATGCTTCCTGAAAGGGAGGCAACAAACAGGAAGGGTGCCCGAACTCACAGCATTTTGTTTTGATTGAGGTGTTGCTTGCTCACTTGGTATGGTAGGAACTCTTTCATGTGTGCAAGGAATCTCCTTTCCTTGGGGTTCCCTGTACACATGCACATCCATGGTTTCGGCATAAATCATCCCCAAGGAAAGGAGGATCGGCAGAAAAATCCACCCTCCCCCCATTTCCTTGGGGATGATTTATGCCAAAACCATGGATGTACATGTGTACAGGGTTGGCGGAGCTGATGAGTGGGGGGATCTGGTTTAGATGAGTAAGGTGGGGCAGGGGGGCAGAATTGGATTGGGTGAGCTACTGTTTCGGCAGACAGCAGCTCCTTGGCAGCCCTGCAGCGGGATAGACAGATGGAGGAGGGAAGGGAGATTACCCCTTCATCTTTGCACTCCAAAAATTGCCCCACACCAGGCAAGAGCAGACAGCTGGAGGAAGGGGCGATTTCCCCCTCCCTCCTTCATCCCGCTGCAGAGCTACCATAGAGCTCCTGCCTGCTGAAGCTGCAGGATGGCCAAGAGCAGCGCGGCCAGGAGGGCAAAGAGCCCTTGCAAGGCCAACAACAGCGGGTGCAGCCAGGCAGAAGCGGGGGAGGCAGCAGGCAATCCCAATGCGCCACACTGCTTTCTCCCTTGTAGCAGCAGCCTGCATAAGCACACAGCCAGCACGAGAGCTAGCGCTCACCAGGGCCAAGGCCTGAAGAGTACTGTTCTGGCATGTTTTGGAAGGGAGATAAAAAAAAGTCCTGCAGTCTCTGGCTGCCACCATGCAAACCCCAGCATGGACAACAGCAGCTGTGCCTTCTCCTTTTCAAAACATGCTGGGACGGCATCAGCAGCAGGCAAAGGCAGCAATCCGATCAAGAGCCCTCACAAGGCCAGCAGCAATAGGTACAGCTGGGCAGAAGTGGGGGAGTGGGGGGAGAAGGCAATCCCAACGTGCTGTGGGCAGGGCTGGGGCTGGCAACACCTCCAGGTGCCCAACTGATCCGTGGGCCACAATTAAGGTGCCAAACTTCCATAAGGTGACCAGGGAAGGGAAGGGCTGCCTCCTGTGCTGCCCACGCCCACCCATTCACTAGGGCTTATTTTGGGGGGAGGGCATATATTTACACCCACCCCAAAAATCAGGCTTGGCCTTATTTTCAGGACATGTCGTATTTTCGGGGAAACACAGTACTTTAAAAATAACTTCAACAAGCAAACTTGTTGAGGCTCAAAATATTCTTGTATTTCAAAAACACTTTATCAAGAAGCAAAATGTTTTATCAAAAAGCAAAATGTAATTACCATCCACAAAGGTAATTTACATTTCAGTCCAATTAAAGGCAATGGCAAAACAAAATAAAGAGTAAGCTGAAACATGAAAAAAGTAGAAATAACACAAAATGGGGCAGAGGAAAATCTAATAATATCTGGCCTGATTAAACGGTCTATATATACATTAGCTATAAAGGTCATGATGATTGTGCTATTAATAAATTTTCACTTGCAATTTTCTTTTTCCTTGTAATCTGATGGCAATAAATGAAAGCAACAGGTTCTAATTCTGCTTTGCACACAAATGAAACAAATATTCTGAAATACAGTGGTCTGTAAAAACCATGAAATAAAAGAATAGATTCTTTCTGAAACAAAGATAAGAAAAGATGCCAAGTATCTTATCCATGCTGGGGCTAGGCCTGCATTCCTAGCATACCACACTCCCTGTGAAGTAACTTGAGGGAAAAGAACAAGAAATAAATGTCAATTATATCTATTAACCAATACCTAAATTGGAAAAAAAAACTTTACAGAATCTGTAAAGCATCAGTTATATTTCAATAGACAACAGACTATCAGCAGGGCTTAAACAGCATTGGGTTTAATGATTTTTTAAAAAAATTCAGATTTCAGCAGGACACGCTTCCTTTCAATGGGAATGGATGTGGCCAAGGTTAAAACAAAAGCTTAAATGAATAAAGAAATTTATTCAAAATGCATGCGGTTTTTAGTCAAGATTGTTTTTTTCTTTTAATTAAATCCCGCACTAACTTCATTAAAAGGCGCCCAGAATACAGTAAGGCACAATTTTCTAAAAAAGAAGAGGAGAGTTCGCAGAAGGACAGAGGCATTTCAAGTAGAAATCTTTTGTAAAAAGAGGACAAAGAATTTCATCCTGCGATCCCTCTTCTCCCCGCCTCCAAACGCTATAAGGCTGGGAGTTTCATTTATTTTCCAAGATACATTAAAAGCTCTGCATAGAAGCACCGCTCGAGTCCTATCCTAAACTGTTCCTCTTAATTATGTCACAATTTTTTCTATAGGATATCTTTCTCTCTCTCTAACGGAAATGAGTCGTCAGTCACCCACAATGCTGTTCCACGCCTTTTTCTTTTAAATAATGAAGGAAGCAAGGCGGGGGGGAATAAAAACGTGGCTCGCCCCGTCCGAAAGTCTAGTGAAACCACTACAGTGCTGGGGGAGACTAGGCCAACTTGCGCATTAGGAGCGTGAATATTCCTCGCCCGCCACGCGGCTTTCTCCTCCAAGCCAGGTTGCCCGGGACAAGGCATCACCGCCAGTTTTGCTTCTCTGACGTCCGCCTGCTAGGTGGCTGGAGAAAAAAGGCCCGGCACACTAAGCCGCCTTTCGAGCCATGTGCCCCGGCAGCCCCCAAGCTTTCTTGTGTCCAGACTCGTGTCTAGAGCGAGGTGGGGAAGAGGCCTTGCCTTGCCCACCCAGTCTACCTGTAAAGGCGAGCAACGCCTTTCTCTCAGGCAAGAATCCAAACCACGGTACCTCGGCTGTGTCTCCGCCTTGCGCTTTTTTTCTTGCAGCTCCTGTAAAATACCTCGCTCGGGCGCCGGGAGCTCCTATTAGGCTGGGTTTTACCGGAACGTGTGTAAATATTTTCTCAGTCGTCACTACACGCTGATGTAAAGGTCCACGGCTACATTAAAATCCTTCCAGGAAAAATGTGGCAGAGCGCGCTATGAATAAATGAATGAATGGTCGGCGGCAATTTCATGCGGCGGCACAGCGATCAGCATCCCTTCCTCCCCCTTCTCGACATCAACCTACGTAGGGGCTCAGCAGAACCAGTAAAGCGATTCACTGACAACTGCACCTGGCGAGCCCCGCTGCCTGCCGTGCGTGGCCATGATGTTCCGAATTTATGATTTCATTTGTTTAAGGCTGGGGAGCGCTTGCTCGGTCGGTCGCTTTTCCTCGCGGCTGCTTCCTCCCCGCCTCCTCCAGGAGGACAGTCCTAGGTGTTTTGAGTGGAACACTTTTGCCCGAAATAGGTAGGACGGATTCCGGGCATGTATAGCCGCCGCATCCGCCCGGTCGGTTAGGAAGAAAGGCACTCGGACACTGACCTGAGGCTTTGCTTTTTCCCCGGCATGAGTGAACAGTCGGCGCGATGGGCGCTTCTTATCCAGCTGAGAACAGCTAAAGGGCTACTTCCTCTCGTTTGGTGGATATAGGAGTGGTGTTGATCCCAGGCAGCGTTCACGGATTTTCTGATCGGGTTAATTGCTTAATCCCAAGAGTTTAAAAGGGTTTATTATAATCAAGAGTGTAACTTACTGCTCTAGGAGTCTATTGTTCCAGGTGGGTTGGGAGTATCAACCCTAAAAACTGCTGGCTAGTTGTAATCCTGCTTCATATGGCAAGACTATTGTTATAGAAATGAAAGGCTGGAACACATTCCTGGGTCAGACAGATGCATTTATTTGCGCAAAGGTTCAGTGCAGTTTTTGGTTGTTGCAAAACTGAACAAGGATGAGTTATGATTTCACGATTTATATATGTTTTTAAGACAAAGAGTTCTATGAGCCCTTCCGGCTTCCATATATGGTTACATTAAAAATACATTATACTTACATTACACTTTACCATATATGGTTACATTAAAATACATTATGCTTACATTACACTTTACTAATTACAAAACCATTACATACTAGTTAATAAAATTATTTTGGCTACACATTTTTACTCTCCATCATTTACTAATTATTAAACTATTACAACTACTTAACCCATCACTTTATAGTTTACAACTTTCCTTTAAGTGCTGTAATGTTTAAATGCAGAAATTATGGCTATAGTTTAAACAATAAGTGACTTTCTGTCTCCCATGTATATCCGTTCAGATGTTCACATATATCTGAATTTCCGTAGTTTTTGATTCTATTAAGATGTATAGAATCAGTGTGTTTGACACAGTGTCATAGGTCAAGTAATTATGAGGAAATCCATGAACTAATTGCTTAGCTTCTTTTCTTTATCCGAGTCAGTCATTTACCAGAACACCATTCTTAGCTCTCCTGATGGATGACAGCTGGGCCTCATCAGAAGATATATTTACCAATAATGGGGTTCAGCTGCCTTTAACAAGTACGTTTCTCTTCTTATAATAATGTGAATAGAGAGGTTCTCTCAAAGTTCAATAGAGAAGGTTATTCAGAGTTCATATATTTGATCTGACTTTATGTATCTGACTTGGTATGATTATTTATTTTATTCACCTTATTTGCTATATTTACCTCATTTCTACCTCACTATGAAAAATGCTGCTGAAGTGGTAACACTTGCTGTCCTTTTTTTGTTAAAGAAAAGGGGGGAAAGAAGCAATAGCATTGCACTCTGCTGAACAGGTTTGCTTGCATCTGTACCATTTTATTAACCCAGAAAAACAACATGTGACTGCTATTTATAGGACTGAAAAATACGGTATACACCTATCTCCCCATCTTCACTTGAAAATGTACTTAAGCAGTACTAATTATTTTACTGCCACTGTTGTGGAAGAAGGAATTCAGAAACATCCCTTCAAGGCAGACAGAATCAGTTTATTTATTTATTGCAATAAAGGATCAGGCCTGATATCGTTACCAAAAAGGAAGTCTGAACGACCTATGATTTTCAGCTCAAAGCCTTTATACAGTTTCAAACAAAGGATTCTGTGAAGTCAGCATTTTCTTATTATCACAGACATATGTTAAACAAAATGACATACCTTAATTACTGAGTTTGTTACTATCTTTGCCAAACAGTTATAATTCTTCTTAGAAGTTACTGAAGCATAGATTCAAATTATCTTCTTGTTGAAACAATAATATGGACATCTCCGTTTCTCTGACCTTCAAAATGTAAATCACCAGACTGTCTTTATCTGTGACAACTGAGGGGCCTTGGTGTACAAATCCTACTTGAAAGGAATGTGTTTGCCTTTTATTTCAACTGGATACATTTGCAAGCACAATTTCTCTTCTACAATACTATGAACAAAGAGGGCCCTTCAGTGATCATCTAGCTGGATCCGCTTTTCCTACTTTACCACAACTACAGGGTTTAGTTACCTGCAACTTTTTCTTATTAGGTTGATCTTAACTATGCCTGTCTGAAATCTGCAATTATAGGCCTTGAAGAATTGGCTGTTTGTAGATTTTGCTGCTCTGAGTGAATCCATGATGATCTCTGTAAAAATCCATGGCTCCCTTGTGTAAGAATCCCCCCTTCTAGAAGAATGAAATATTTTGGGAACTATTAAATGGCAAGATATTATATTTCCCTAAAGGAGAAATGGAGAAACATGCTCTTAAAAGACAGAAAGCAGACTCAATCTCCCTGCTCCCAGCAGATACTAAGGCCAGTTTTTAGAAATGCAGATTTGGTAATCCTTTCAAGACAGGATGTTTTGAAACAAAGGCAGAATGGTAGGTTTAGCCCTCATTCAAAATCCAACACAGGAGAAAGCCATTAAGCCACAATAGGAATTGCCCAACACCCTTTCAGAACACAAACCTCTTCATTGCAACATCTCAGAGCAGTCCAAACTTCAACCAAACCCTGAAGTTCAGACAAACATCTAGGACCCCATAGGAATCTGACAACAGCCAATAGAATATTCTTGCACAGGAACAGGAAGTTCAAGTGCAAAGCCCAAAGAAGGTATAAAAACCCCTCATTCTCAACTTCATTTTGTCAGCTGCACCAGAACTCATGTGATTCTGCTTCATCATTAAACTATCTTTCCAATCAGCCTCCCTCTTTCCAGTGTCTTTCTCTTGGCTTGGAACTGAACAAGAGGGATATTTCTTCCAGCACTTGCCTTTTTGCTAAAACACGTCTTCCTTGCAGGAGCAAAGGAATGACATAAAGGAGTACTTAAGAGAGTTAACCTTTCCTCTTTGTGCCATAATTGAAGCTTTGTATGCCAGTCCAAGCAAAGCATTGAGATAAACCAGTGACATTTCATTATATCTTGGTGAGATACTTCCTTGTATACTAGTTGTGTAATATTTGCCAAATAGCATCCATGACACACTATTCACATTTTTCTCGGTAACAGCTTTAAAGTATATGTACTGGAAGGAGGTCCCTTGGTTTTGTAGGAAGAAACATCCTTCTGGGGTCTGCTCCAAGTGGGGAAAAAGACACTGGAAACATGGAGACTGCTTGGAAAGATGGTTTAATGGTGGACAGGATCACATGGCTTGAGTTCCTGAACAGAAAAGGGGCAGATACAGTGAGTTTTCGGGTTTTATGCTCTCTCTGGCTTTGAACTTTCTGGGGCCCAGAAAGAGTATCCTGATTGGTTGTCAGACTTCCAGGGGGTGGGGTTTTTTAGCTAGCCTTGCTGACTGATGTAATCTTCCCGGTGCCATGTGGTGAGTTTCATCCTAGATGGATCCCATTGTCTTGCAGATGAGGTCCATTGACAAAGATTGACTTTCTGCCTCTGGCCCATTAACAAAAGGGTGGGGGCAGGAAGGTGGGAGCTGCTTTAAAACAGTGGTTCTCAACCTGTGGGTCGGGACCCCTTTGGGGGTCAAATGACCCTTTCACAGGGGTCACCTAGGACCATTGGAAAACACATATTTTCAATGGTTTTAGGAATAATTTTATTGTTGGGGGTCACCACAACATGAGGAACTGTATTAAAGGGTCCCAGCATTAGGAAGGTTGAGAACCACTGCTTTAAAACATGCTTCTCCATTTCTCATCTTGGGAAACATAATATTCTGCCTTTTTAATATTTCCCAAAATATTCCATTCTTCTAGGAAAGGGGTGGGTGCTAACCTCCTACAATCCCTACTTTTTTTTTCAAAACGTGAGTTTTGAAACAAGTTCTTGGCAAAAGATTAAAATTGATCAGTTCAGGTAGACTTAATAGGTGCTTTTAATTGTTCTAATGCAAAGGGGAAGGCATTGATAGGGGCAACAGAAAAGGATTCCTTCAGGGGCTTCCAAAAGCTTTCAACTATGAAGGTCTAGCAGTCGGCAAAAATTCTGAAAAGAAATTTACAGTATCCAATTTCTATGCCAATTAATTTCAGATTTCAGATATCACTTTCTGTGAGCTTCCAGTCAGGTTTCAAGCAAGCACATGTCCCAAAATTTTTCACAGCCATGATTTTCCTTTAAATTACAGGCTGCCCATTTCCAAGGGTTGGTTACTGAACCTGCCCTAGTTTTTACTTTAGTGCATCCAGGATTTGTGAGTCCAAATTGAGGTTAGTCAGTGTACAATCCAGGCTTTTTTTGGGGAGGGGGTATTATTACACATAATGAGCCCTGGGACTTCTACTCATGAGATCACCAGCGCAACATATTTATCTTTACTGGGCAACTGGGCAGCATCATTTATAAGTCACAGTCAGGGCTTGGGTTTTGGATATCACTTTTTCTGCTATCTCTTCAAGTGAGGGAATTGCCTGAGGGGGATTGTCCCTTCCCCCATGGAATTAGCAGGTAGATATGACTCCTTGGGCTTTTAGTGCTACAGAGCAAAATCAACCTAGGAGAAGCTTTGTGTGGAGGTAAGTGAAGGGAATAGTTTCAGTCTAATTCTGAATGGTGTGTCTCTCTCTGTGTGCATGTGTATGCAGCTACTTTTACAATACAGGCAATACAAACATTTTGGACATATTTCTCCTCCCCACCAGGCAGAAATCTAAGGTGTACATAACTTGCTGTCGCAACCACTCCCAAATACAATTCTTACAATAAACTGATTACAATATAAATGAGACAAGAAAGAAAATCTTACAATGAATTTCCACCTTCCCCATAGTCTTTCCAGCTGTCTTCTGAGGATTGAAAAGAGTCTTTTAGTCTTTACTTGTCCATCTCAGGATCTTTTCTTTCATGTCTGCTGGGTAGCATGCTTGGTGGTAAGGCTTGGTCGGTCAGGCTTGGGAAGATCTGTTCCACTCTGGTTGCTGTGATGACTTTCAGTGAAGACTGGATTCAAACCCAATTCCTGATTCAAACAGATGGAAGGTCTCCTCTGGAGGCAGCATCTGGATCCATGTGCTCTGCTTCCACAGGTTGCAGAGTCCTTCGTGCAGGGCTG